AGGGGTTACTCTACCTAAATCACTTCAAAGGAAGCAGCTTTACCGAATGCTTTCAACACAGCTGACATAGCCTATGTTCATTTTCCATATTTCCTTCTGCTACCATAGTTATAAACTGATAGCCTCCGTCAAGAGAGGGATCCCCCCTYTAGAGCGGTCCACCCCTCTTGCTATGTAACAGCCCAGAAAACACAGAGAATGTATGAGTTTACTGTAACAGCAAAGAGCATTTGATTTAAACCTAGCATGCTTGGTAGCTTGGTCTAAATTTACTGGAATTTTGAGGAAGTTCTAACCCAGCTCTCAAATGTCCCTGCTATGTTGGGCATCCATCTCGAAGGAGCACCTGAAGGGAGCAGGAGGATGAACTGCACAATCTAGGTGAAATCCTCCCCTTTTTTAAAGACTGCTTTGCACGTGCAACTGTATGCAAATATATGGTACGTATTTCCAGACTGCTTATTTGAGATTCAGTAAAGGAGCTTTGGCACGCGAAGTGACAAATTGTTTTTAAGTGTTTCCAAGTTTACCATTTCATTCGGGTGGTGCTGAGGATGCAGAACAGAGCCAGGCTCCTGCCTGCTACGTGCCCCTTCAGGCTGGCCCTCAGCTCCTGCACACACCCCGGTCCAGTCCAAGAGCCATTAAAAGCAGTGGGAAGGTTCCCACTGAGCTCAGTGGAAGCCGGATCAATACAGATGTTAAATTCAGTTATCCGATAAATATTATTTTTCTCCAATTCACGCATTTGTCAGGCACAAAAATAACCCAGTTCTGTTTGTGCACTGGGTTCTAATCTAGGTGGCTGGTATGTTTGCAATCTGACAAAACAGATATCTCTTTTTTTGCAGGGAGTGCATATACATTTCTCTGTCTATCTCAAAAAAAGTCTCAGAAAGCTATTCAGGACTCAGTGCACGTTCTTGCCTCTTCACAATTCATTTTCCCTTTTTTTTTTTTTTTTTTTTTTTGGTGTGTGACAACCTAGGCAATAATTCACAGCTCACTGGGTCTCCTAAATAACCCCCTTTATGTTTACATGGTAGGCATTCCCCCATTACCCAGCAGGGTCTGGCTGTATTGGCAGGCAGTTATTAGGCATTCTTAAGTCTTTGGAGCCTTAACATATCCTTCTCTGGTGTTTCTGAAAACATCCTGTATGGTTACCATCCCAGCAAATATATAGCAAATTCTGACTATTTAAGAAAAACATAAACTGTATCATTTTGTAATTTTTAAGTGGTTCCTTCTTTGGGTGCCATCCAGACTCCCACATGAAGTCTTTAAGACTCTGAACGCTTTTACCTAACAGAGGAGCATTGCTATGGTTCTTTCCTCCGTTGGAAATCAAATGAACTACTTGAGTTTCTTTTAACTGCAACTTTTAAAGTGAATATTCACTCATTGAATCCAGCATTGCCAAGAAGTCAGGTGGGAGAAGGCGGCGAAAACAATTCTGGGTACTTAAGAATGAAAAAAAGTCTAGTTCAGAAGTGATCCAGAATAGACAGCAGAACGCRCTGCGAGAAGGCAGCCTGCTCCAACTCGGTGTGTGTCATTAAGAGGATGCATTTTTAGCACCAAAGCAGGGCCAAATGGASTGCACTGCACTCTGGCCCAGGCCCGGGCTGCCGGGAGCTGCTCCGCAGGCCGGCGCTCCCACAGCCCTCCCACATGCAGGGCCCATGGAGGCACCTCCATCCACCCCGCCATGCCGTGAGGTAACGGCACCTCAAGGAAGCCGCCACCGCGGGCCAAACTACAACATGGAAGCTTGGGCGGGATACAGAGAGGAAATGGGAGCGCTGGAGGCCTCGGCGCGTTCCTGGGGCCCTGCCCGGGCCACGCTCCCCGTGCTGGAGAAAGCCGAGCCCCYCACGGAGCCGCATGCGGCCCGGCGTTCCCAGCACGCCACAGGCCATGGGCCTCCACGTTCCACCAACTGCCTCATCTGGCTTGCTAACCAAACAGATAAATACTTCAGACCAACACACAACAAATCCTCACAACYGCAAAAATAAATAAATACAATCTCATGGATTGGTTTTTGAGTAAAAAGGAAGTTAGATAGTTTTTTGTTTTACAATTACATTGCTCTTAGCACTATACAAAAGTACCCTCGTGGTATAAGTTTCCCTGGTGAGAACAAGGGCCTTCATTATGTTTCACATATGCCATATATCATGTTTTTTAATATCTCCAGATTCAAGGAGTGAAGAGGCAGAACCAGGGTAATTACAGAACTCCAGGTAATTTTTATAGTAGGAGCCATTTACGATGACTGAGAAGTCGTAACAGAATATGAGAAAGAAGCAATGTTAATTTACAAAGTCTTTGCCCACTTCGACAAATAAGCAAAAGCATTTTAAAATCTCCTATWAGCAGAACCTGTAAGCACTTGAACACACATTGCCCCTTGTTTACAAAGCTCAGCTAAGGCAACACAGCACCACAGAACAACTCACCTGCACAGTTTTAGTGCACTTAAGAGACCTCAAACCCACAGACTGTTTGGGCTTTTCTTTAATCAAAGGGAGTAACTCTTCATTATATTTGCTATGATTTTTCTTATCACATCTTCAAGTTTCTGCATTCTTCTCTTTCATTTTCAACGTTTCTTTTAGAGGGTAATATCTCACTATCATTTGATATCCTTTGAAAACAATGTTTCTCATAAACTGATTGTTTAAAGTTCAAAAAAAGTAACATCCTATTAAAAGAAATCCCGCATGCAGAACAGTATTTTAGGATGCTAACCACTCATGTTACTAGCCATCCATGAAGCATATGCTGAAAACACTTTAAAGTGTTCAGAAACGCCTCTCTAAGTCATAAATCTTTTACAGGTACAATTATATGAGAACAGCGATAGAAAAAGCACATTCAACATCTGGAGTCAGATGAGTTTACTGAAGTAAAATTGCAAAATTAAATTTAGATGAACTTAATTAAAAAAGGGGATCCAATTTAATATGGACATTCATCAAATTCTCATTGAAAACCTTTCTTGCCTCAAGAAAATATAATAAACTATGAACACAAAACCCACATAAAGGCTGAAATGAAGTGTGAAGCCCTGGTCAAATACAGAGAGGCAATCAGAAGGAACTCTCTTTTCCCCCTCCTGTTTTAAACACACATACACATATTTTTACTTTAATTGTGCAAAATATTGAACTATATTTTGATTCTAACAATGGAAGAACTGAAATGGTCATCTATACACCTTGACAGTCCTTAACTCTTACAAAATATCTGCCACRCATGTATTGAAAACAGTGACATGGAACAGAGCGCGTGAGTGTCTCTATAAGTATACACAGTTGTCAACTGTTGCTACTGAGACTAGGGAACTTCATCTAAAAGCAATTATATTTGCTAGTGCTTAAATGTTTGTTTCCTGCATTTAAGTGATACTTGTGTTGCTCCTACTGAAGTTTATGGGAGCTTTATCACAGGACTGGGCCTTTGATGACTTGTAATGGATTTTCATTTGCCTTAGTTAAGAAGCAACAAATGGGGGTCTTCTGCTCTCCTTTCCTAGATCATTAGTGTCTTGTTTCCAGGGGAAAAAGGTTTAGCAGTTCAGTAGCAGGGACTTTCAGTGTTGACAGACTCTGTCTATCACAAACAACATTATTGACTTACAGCTCTGCAGGTTACAGACTTACAGCTCTGCATGCAGAATTCAGTGTCATTAAAAAATATTGAAAAAAAATAGAAAAATGTTATTTGGATTATATTATTTTCCTGCAAAATTACCTTGACATTCATTGCTTTGCATCTTGTCTATACAATCAAGTAATATGATAATTATGTTTTCTTGTACAAAGAGCAGTATCAGTACAGTATACTCTGAGAGAGATACTATCCTTTAYTAGAGGCATGTGCCCACTATACTTAATTCAGCCAGCAATAACAACACATAATCTCTCTTCAGGATTCACAATAACACATTATGATGATTTTTTTATTTTTAAAATGGAAAGTGTAGGATGAGATAGGAGAGCTACTGCAGTTGAGCCTGCCTTTGAATTGAAGCAKAGGTTTCATTGAACTATCAGGTTAATGACAACAAACTGCTAGGGAAACACTGAATAGAAATAGTGTTTCTATTTCAGAAGACATCCAGATTTTAGTTGTAATCAAATTTAAAATACATGTATCAGTAGCCTGCAACATTTCTGTCAGCATTTTATATGTTGAGCAATCATTGAAATAAATAAAAATCTTTAATGCAAGTAGCTGTCATAAAGATGAGAATCAGTTTGACCAAAAAAACCTGTCATAACAATATTAAAATCTAAGAATTAGATCCTTCCTAACCCCCAAAACCTGAACATTTCCACAAAACATCATTTTCTCCTACAGTTTAAGAATTATTTCACATTATCCAGCCATAGTTTTCTAGAAAACACATTCCAACTTGAAACAGAGCTATGATGGGACTCACCTGTTCCCTCCTCCTTTTCACTTTTATAACGGACAATATTGCTTTACAAAAGAAATTTTAAGTTTACAGATGCAACAGTATCTGAGAACCTGACTGAAGATCTGGACAATCAGATTAGTTACCACAAGGTCAGCATTAGATAGGGAAATTATTTGCAATTTTGCAACTTAGTTGCTGAGCTTTCTACAAAAAGAGAATTACTGAAATTTCCTTTTTGTCTACTCTATCTCCTCGCTAGACACTGTCCAATGCTCTTTTGTAAATTGGTTGTGTTCTTCAAAACATACAAYGTCAAATCTTTCAAGAGGAGTCACCTTAGCAGACAGGAGAATAAAAATGGTCTTTATGGGATTACTCTGATGATAAGTGCTCAGAACGTGTGTCCTTAGCTCAGTCTCTCGTGGATCAGTTTAAGTTCTAACATCTCAGCATCCTTGTAATGGTCAAGGAGAGAGAGTTCATTTTTCACACAGATTCATTTTTAGTACAACTTGACAGAAAACAATAATATTCTAATGTTGTTTACTACGACATCTTTAGATCTTACCACTGAGAGCAAACGTGAAGATCCTTAAACTGCTGGCATCAGTGTTCCCGTAGAGGCTGGCACAAATTCAGTTGGGTGATCCTGCCAAAAGTCAGAGGAAAATATTCATCAGACAGATGATTATTTTTAATCACACTTTCGCAGTACCCCTGGAAGCCCCGTTTTATATGCAGGTTTACTGCAGGTTTAATGATAAGACCACAAAAATAGATTCGAGTGCAACAAAAAAGCGCTGACTTTTTGAGTGACTGTGAACCTGAATATTGATTCCCACAGGGCACTTTCTGTAGGAAAACTGTTCCTTCATGAAAGCAACAGTACCAGTACCTTTGTGTACCAGAAAGAATAATACTGTATTGCATGATTAGCTTTAATAAACTCCATTAGAAAGATGGARGATGGAAAAATAAACAAAAACACACACAAATGGCCAACCCGAGATTAATGGAGTATAACTCATATACAGTTCATTTTCACTCCAGATCAAAGAGGTTTTGAAGTTCAAATAAATTTGCCTACTAATAGTTTTAGTACAGGATTATCTCTCTTAGCATCTAAAAAATAACATTCAGAGCTGGCATTTAACAGCTTATTTGTATTGCAGCACTTCAGGGACAGCAAACTTGTAATTTCTACCATATGTGGAACATTTCTTTCATCATACTATTGAAATTTCTACACAAGAAAGCATTACCAAGAGAAACTTTTGCAAGAGGATTACTTTGCTAGGTATAATTATAATTATTTTTTGCCACAATCAGTTCTAATTATCTTTAATTAATGTATACTATATTGTACATATAAATATGTATATGTATAAATTTGTTTCACTGAGCTTTATGTGGTTGATTTCTCAAGTTATTCAAATTACTTCTGTTTAGGAGAGCTATCTTTAAGTGAAACCAAAAATGGAAAGAAAAAATGGATTTGATGACAAAAAAAAAAAAAAAAAAAAAAGACATAAGCTGGTGGAGCAGCGTGCTTGGGTCAGACCAGTTTTATTAACCTTGTACTACTCCAAGTTGCCTCTACAGAATAACAGACAACCTAAAAAACCCTGAAATCTGCAGAGCAAATTCAAAGCAGGAAAAAAATTGCAAGGAGCAGGAGACGTGGAGCTCCAGACGAGTACTGGACATCTCTCTATCCCTTTCACTTCTTCAAACTCTCAATGAAAATATTGTCATTTTCACTTTACAGCAACAAATTCCTTGCTGAGAGATTTTTCAAAGGCATGCAAGAGAACGGGGTGTCTAATTCCCTCAGGCAGTTTTGAAAAGTCCACGATTAATATATAATATAGCTCCTTATGCATCAAACCATTTCCCAGTGTACTTCACATTAATCTTTAATCTAGACACTTTAATCTTCAAATCTTCATACAATAATCTTCAATGAAAGGATCTTCCTCAGAGTTTACAGTATATTTAACACAATTTTCAAACTACTAGTACATTGCTCTAGCTTTTAATACCCAGAAAATGCTTTATAAATTAGATCAACTACAACCTGGCCAGGGTTTCTGTACTTTTAATATCTTCAGAGACAGATTACAACAAAGGGTGCTGGAGGGAATGACTTTGCTGCTTAAGCTTCGCATTGCAATGCTGTAAATGCCCCCAGCACAGCCCCACGGCTGCAGAGCGCGGGTTTCTTCCGCGCTTCACATTTTCCAAGGTAAGGACCTGAAGGCTGCAGCGTATCTCAGAGCGTGCGCTGCTCCCTCCTGGCAGCTCTCTGCGCGCACATCTGGCCGGGGACATAGTTTCCATATCTGTGTTCCTGCCAACAGTATTAACTGTTGGAACAGTGTGCCAGGCCCCTTCTGAGGGATATGGCCATGACTTCAGCTCCTGCTGGCCTTTCCTGTTCCCTTCAGCACTGTTTATTTTACCACAGCACCTCCAAGGCCTAGTCGTGGGCCAGGACCTCACTGCACGAGCCCTGTCCAAACGCACAGTGGAAAGAAGCCTCTAGGAATTTAAACAGCGGATTYGGGACCCAAGGCACCAGCACAGCACGGGGTAGGAGAGAAAAAGAAGGCACCATCAGTCATTATGACAGGCAGTGGTTTTTTGTAGGCATCCTGGCAAGGGATTTTGAAGAGGGATTTGAAGAACCAGTTTTGCAGAAGTGCCTGAAGAGTTTTGAAGGGAGAAAGTGGGAAGGTGCTGGCTGGAGAGGCAGAGGCGAGGTGGAAACAGGCTCTGTGGCTCCAGCTGAGCCTGGAGCTGTTTTCATACTGAGAGAGGGTAGAGAGGGAAAATAAGTTGCCTGAGAGAAAGGGAAATCACATATAAGTGATATGGTCAAAACATGATATGGCCAAAGAAATGAAGCTAGGAAAAGGGGCCTTCTCAAAGCACTATTTCACCTGGGTGAGATTATCTTTGTCACGATTTGAGAAAGGAAATTTACAGTAGGAGGAATCCAAGAGGCAAGGTGGATGGACTGGAAAGCCTACATATCAGACTTCAGATGTCAGCTGGATTTGAGGCGGTAAAAAGAAATCTCAGTTGATTGTGACGCTCAGGTTTTGAGTCTAGGTGATAAATGAGATGGTAAAGATGTTTATAGTTGTTTATAGCCACTGTGAGAAAGAGTAATGGAGCAGGTTTCTGAAGGAGGGCTAAGGACCCATGTTCTAACCACTGGATTTGAGATACCGCTTCAGTATTTACACAGAAAAAGAGTGARACTTCAGTTTGGGCAGAATAAGGCAGGCTCAAAGTAGACAGATACACCACGGTTTTTAATCAAGCTCATTAACATACTAGTTGAATTTGTGCTTGCCAATTTATCCTCCCAGATAAATTAGGAAGGAGGAAAAGAGTCAAAAGCTGACTTTGCTATAAATTCTCACAGCTGGAGAAGACATTAGGTGGATTCACCAAAGGATGATGGAATGGATGGACTTATGGAAACCAAAAGAATAGAGGATGACAATAAGAGTTATCAAGGTAGAGTACAACCTGAAAAACCTGTCAGGCTGAGGTGGTCAAAGGCAGAGCGTTGATCCTCCGAGTGGGCTGCAGAAAGTTATTAGAGGCTGGTTTGAGCATTTTCCATTGACTGCAAAGGATAGAAATTAGACAGCAGTGACTGTGAAATGTCATTACAAGGTTGCATGGGGTAGGACATGGGACACTAAGGTATGACTGAAATGTGAGAGAGGAAAAGGAAGAGCGCAACTCAAGAGAAAGGAAAAAGAATAGAATGGATCTCCCAGATAAGTGGAAGGGCAGGGGAAGAGAGCAGATGGAGAATTTCATAGTTTGCTAGAGGCCACAGAGATGTTTCAGGAAGGGAGCAGTAAGTGGAAAGAGAAGTGATAAAGATCCTTTAATACCTATCAGTTTTCACTAGGAAGAACCTATAAAAATCCTTTTCAGAGTAAGAAATTGTGGTAGGAGGAGAAGGCTTAAGGAACAAGTCAAAGGTGGCAAAGAGGAGATGAGGACTGTGGACATAGATTTCAATTACAGCAGCTGGGCATTTGACTGAATGGAGAGTCTCCTCTCAGCTAAATGGAAAGAATAACTGCAGCAGAGCAAGTCAGCTTGGCCACAGGATTTCTGCCAGAAATGCTTTGTTGCATGAAACAACAAGCAGAGGAAGCATCTATGAGAACCGCGGTCACAATGGCCTTGAGAGCTCCACAGCAGAGGCCGAGCCTGAACTCCATCAGTTCAGGAACATTGCTGCCTTTTGTCGAGGAGACCACGGGGATGAGGGACAATAAAGTTGCTGGACATTTGCCACCCGTGCTAGACCAAGCCATAATTGGGTCTTTATTTAAGAGTCTCATGATATCTGTAACAGATGAAAAGAATTTGACATGCGGATGAGTTTAATCTACCATGGAGCTACAGCACTACAGAAATGATTGCAAAACCAGACAAGGGCTCTGAATATCAGGTTTACATTCAGAGCTAAAATACAGGCACGTTTAGTCCCAGTATACCTTTTCACTTAGAAAACTCTTATATTTTTGACAGAAAAATGCATGAAATATTTCATATTCAAAGGACATAACTACATTTCAGAGGCAAGACATGAATACTTGATGACTTGGGCTGAAATCTCCCATTTTCTTCATGGTAAGGTCCACTTTGGGGTTATACTGATATATGTTTGCAATGTTACCACACTTTTGGTAACGGTGAAGGATTTCAGCACATGYAATACAGCTTTGAACAGAGGTAAGGGCAGCCCCTCAAAGCTTTGGCAGACATATGGCTGTTACAGTGTCTGAGGAAAGCTGATGCTATGATTTATATAAGGCGAGTTTACAGTCCAGGGAAGAAAGAATGAGCTTGGAGATATTAGGAATACTCATGTTGCAGAAAGTTTGGTCAAAGTAAGCCATTTTAAGAYACTGAGAACGGGTTTTTGGACAAGGATACGATTTAATGATGTCTTGGCAGAGCCAAGAATTGTAATTAATACAGTGAGAATGAGGAGGAAAAAGAAAAAAAAAAGTTGTTAGTGAAAAGCCTTCAAGACTATTCTTCACAAATGACATCCAAGCGTGCATTTAGACAGGAACAAAAATAGCCGAGAGGACAGGAAGGGCAGTTCCTTGAAGATGAAATTTATATCACAAAACAGAAGGGTCCGTGATGCCACCCTGGACTTCAGCTCATGCAGTTGCATGTCACAGGTGAGGGTATCAAGCACAACAAAGAGAAAGGGCCTAAAAAGAGAAGCATGATTCCTGACCAAATATTGACAGGAACTGCCAAAAATGGGGAGATGAGAAAGAGCAGGAAATGGTTAAAGAGCTAACACTCTACAACGTGCTGATGGAGTATTCMTAACAATGCTTAATTTTACATCTTAATGTAATCAACTTGCCTGAACAGGTTACCATAAAATACTCATTAATTTGCACATATATTAATCTGTGTAAAATACTTGTGTGACACAAGGGGGAAAAAAAAAAAAAAAACCTAAGCCTCAAATACAGCACTTTAGAATGGAGTTTCTAGCTGCTTTTGCTCTCCTTTATAAACCTAGACTTCATGTCTTTCCATTTGCATTTAAAAAAATTTTCCAAAATAATAATATATATTTTCCCC